AAAAGAATCCCACTTAATTGAAGTTTCTATGCTTCTGAAGAAATCCCTTGGCCCTGGCATTTCTCCATGGGAAACAGAAAATGTCTTAAGGTTGGTTGGCACTTGTTCTGTGAGTAGCTTCTCCCGTGTCCAGCATCTGCCTCCTGTTCCGTTTCCTGGAGTTTTTCCTCTCTGTGACTGGATCTGCGCTAGACACTGAATTTTTTCCTTTTGTTTTCCTTGTTGTTTCATCTGCCCTGCTATTTAGATTTCCATTTGAATGTACAGAATGTCCTGTTCCTCAGTGCTGAGCTTAGAAATAAACACGTCCCTTTGGCAGTTCTGAGATCCCTTCCTGAAGTGAAGGAGGTATGCCTCATGGGAATGACCTCATCAGGATGCCTTGCTCAGGGAAGTGTGGGGTGCTCTCCTCCCATAGTGTATTTTGTGTCCTGCTCATTGTGTTTCATGACCTCCCTGTCAGGTTATGAGCTCAGGGAGGCAGGAACTTTAGTATCTAAATGAGGGCTTATTAGTTGTGTTTTGAATAAAGTAAACAAATCCACTGCAGTTTTGAAACCCGCAGGAATTGTGTGGTAATCTCAAACTTAGAGTAAGATAAACGTTACTGATCTCTTAACCACAGGGGAAAAAAAGGGAGATATAAAATCTTTCTTTTGAACCAGCTTATTATAATCTACATTAGCTATGCACTCAGCATTCAGTTTTATATCTCCAAACTAGATGCCATAATTCTTTACATCAGAGTTGAAGTCTTTGGCTTGTGTGACTTCCAGTTCTTCATATCCAGAGTAATTAATAAGCTGAATAATTTTTTCTTTGTAGCATAGCTTAGCTCTGTTCATATTGGGTCCTAATTATCATTCTGGCTTTTTTTTTTTTTTTAAAGTACTAATTTCATGCAGATTCTAGGAGCCTTCACCATCACTGATGCTTTTAAGGGAAGGGTAGTGCAGAGGACCCTTCCAGGAGTGGGCTAATTCACCTTTCTCTCCTACCCCTTCTAGTCACTCCTTGTCTGCACTTGTGTGGGTGGCTTCCTCATTTCCAAGAGAAGAATGTTGGATTAGATAGTATATTAGGACCTCTTTAGTCCTAATATCCTACAGCTGACATATGCCACGGGAAGGTCTATTTTAGAAAAGGAAGATGGGAAACCAAGGTAGTTTTTAAATTCCTGTCTATAAAAGAGGTTAGCTAAAATTGCATTTAGATTGTTAACATATTATTAATAAGGATTTGATAAGAACTAGATTTTTTCCAAAAAGTTGTATTTTTTAAAAAAAATTTTATTTGTTTTAATTAGTTATACATGACAGTAGAATGCACTTATATACTTTGATATATCATACATAGATGGGATATAATTTCTCATTTTTCTGAGTATACATATTGTAGAATCACATTGGTCATACAGTCACATACATACATACAGTAATAATGTCTGTTTCATTCTACTATCTCTCTTGTCCCCACATCCCCTGCCTTCCCCTCCTTTCCCTTCCCTCTACCTAATCTAAGGTAACGCTATTCTTTTTTTTTTTTTTTTTTTGCATTACAATTCTTAATACACATATATACCACAATTTTTGTATCTCTGTTTGTATATAAAGTATGTTGCCACCCAATTCAAGTCTTATTTTTAAGACTAAAAAAATTTTACTGCTGTGATATTGTGGTAAAGGAGTGTTTCTTAGCAACTTAAGTGAAATTTTGTTTGTTCCTCAGATTGCCAACACTGCTACTTACTTCTAGCTCTCCATTTTATCTGGAGAAGACTTTTAATGCCATTTTAGTAGTGCTTTTGATGATTTTAGATGGCTTACTTTTAAAGCCATTTGTACATTTTTTGTTTGTTATTGTGTACTGTTGCTATAGCCAATTAAAAATCCTCTTAACAAACTATTATAGATTGGATCAAAGGAGATCACTGTTATTCTTCTTCCAAGAAAGAGGAGACTTATGAGCCACAACAATTTATTGCTTGTTTCTCTAATGAAGCAATATATAACTATTAGTCCACTCAATTATGTAGGAACTCTGAAAACTCCAGAGATTTTGATGAGTATATTTCTAGAAACCAAAATATTAAGGTCCTAAAAATGATTAAAGCCAAACTCTTAATAATGAGTTGATGTATTACTTATAGAAAATAAAATAGCTAAAGCATTTTGAATTTCAGAGCTGATTAAAATGGCCTCAGATGGTTTCAAATGTATTTCAAGGACAAATATAGATTTGAATAATTTTGTCTGTGATGAACTAGCTTCTTGCTAGTTCCAACTTCAAATTGTTAAGAGAGAGAGAATTAGCCCAGCTAGGGTAACCTTATCCTGAAGTGTTTTATAATTATCTAATCCAGGGAGTAGGTTAGAGAAATGGGCCACCTAGTCAGAACATGGATATTGGGAGTTTTTCTCTGTGTAGTGACTGGTGGTTTATTTGAGGCTTGGAAGACTCAAAAAGGAAATCAGTCAAAGAATACATTTGTGGAAAGGTCTCTCAGACTGCTGACATTGTCTTGCAAAGGCCCTCTAAGAGGAACTACAAAGTAACAGAAGAAAGTAATACCTGATTTGGTCTGTGAGCCCTACGTTTCAGATCAGCTCAGATTCAGCAAGCCCAGTTGCTTTGAAAGAAATAGGATAGAATATAGGAATTAATTTGGTTGAAAATCAGTCAATGCCTAAGAGATTCTGTAACAGATCTGGATACCTTAACCTTAAGTATTTTATAATAGTCCTCTTGAACTTCTGTTTTTTGCTATTCTAATTGGAACTAGTTAGAGTTCATGGAAATGGCCTGATTCATCCCTGAGATTGATCCTTGTAGGTAATGTACAAGGAGAATTGCATATACTTTTATAATATTTCTATTTGTATACTATGGTTTTATTTTTTTGTAAACTTTTTAGGTAAAACTTTCAGTCTGAACTATTGAAGGTTCTGTTTTTCATCCCTTTCTCTTGTGTTTGAATAATGTTAAATCTTCTCAATAGTATCCTTATGAGAAACTCTAGTGTTTCTTAAAGGAAATAGTTCCTTGAGGCATGTATTGCTGGAGGCAGGACCTGGTTTAGGAAGGTTGAGGTAACCTAAAGGTGGGTCCCATAATTGGGAGACATAAAGTCTCTTTTGCATAAACCTATTGTTAGAATCCTCTGAGAAAGGCTAGATGTCATCTAGAAAATTTGCTGGAAACTCTTTCAGATCTGTGGCCCATGTGGAATGTTTCCATATCCATTTAGTCAATGGGAAATCACCACAGCAATGTCATTATACTTCCTATTCCTGGCTACATGCTTAGTAGAATAGTAATGGATTAGTTTAAGAAAAACATGTACATATGTACACATGCACAAAAATTCACACACACTTGTACACAAATGTGCATAAGTTAGAACTCAGCTCTTCCAGCCACACCATCATTTTTCTTTTGTTAAGATTCATATGTGGATATTTACATGGAGTTAGGTATAAAGTAGTCATGTTACCTCATCAGCAGATACATTCTTCTGTCACTCTGGTTTGTGCATGTTGGTCTGACCTTAGGTATGGCCTGTGCACCTTGCACTCTGGTACCTACCTCCCTATCCTGTGACAGGAGTGGGCTAATTCACCTGATCACCTACAGATGATCCTTCTGGCGCCTAAGTATAGACACCGTCTGTCTCTTAGTCTATTTCTTTAACATAACCAACTGCATCCTTAGACCAGTTTTGGCTTTTGTATCTCAAATATCTTTGAGATAGGAAGGTAAATGGCAGTCATTCCAGAGAGTATAGGATTTTTTTCCCCCAATGCTAGAGACTGAACTCAGGGCCTGTACATGCCTAGGTAAGTGCTCTATCACTGAGTTTACAAACCCCAGCCCCAGAGAATAGGGTTCCTAAGGTAAAGACAAGTGTTGCCTTGTGAATCTAAGAATTGCATACGAAGGACTGGAAAACAATTCCTAGGCTTCTCTGATAGATTAGACAGAGCACTTCTGAAGACTAAAGGGAATCTACTTTTGGGATATGGACTGCAGGGGAAAAACAAACAAAATCAACTTTCCTCAGATGATAAGCTAGATCTGCACCCTATGGTTTTAGACTACCCTGAGGTAGCCACCTAAAATGTCGTCTCCTTACAGGAAACCTGTTCTTTATATCCTTTATAGTGAACTACCCATAAAGTTTTATACACCCCAAAAGCTTGTCTTCAAGAAAGCAAATGCAGATTTCAATGACATTAGATTTACTGTAATCTCCTCTGAGTTTCTGTGTACCCTACTGCATCCCTGGGGCTAAAGGCCTGTTTAATAAACACTGAGGCTTGGGGGTGCTGGCAGCTGAGCCACTTAGTACAGCCAGGTTGTGCAGACAGCAGGATGAGAAGCAGACTTGTTAAGAGAGCAGTGTTTATTACTATTGAGTTTTTTATCTGTCTCCCTGGGAGAGGGGGTGCTGCAGGATGCTCCAGGAAGCCTGTTAGATGAAAGCCCAGTCCTGTTCATCAGCGCACAGCATGGAGAGAGTCAGTTTCCATAATAAGGACACTTCTGATATACATCATCTGTCATGTATGTTAATGCTGTTACAGATATTGTTGTTATTTTTGGTTCATTAATATAATGAACCTTTATGGGTCCAGTGGTTAGAAATAAATGTCCTATTATTTGTTAATTAATCATCTTAAACTATTTGGTGCATATAAGTTTTATGCAATTTACTAATTAATAAATATTTTTTCAGTTAATGGAGATCATTTACCCTTTAATTAATTTTATTGTTGGTTATTTTGGGTGCTGTTGTTTAATTGGATTTATATTTCCTTCTGTCAGCCAAGTTCAGATCTGCATTCATGCAGGTTCTTTATTCCTGTGTTTGTTGAGTGAGCAACTGGGTATATTGGTTGGTGGATGGATGGGTCCACAACATCGTGGCCCAGTCCTTAGCAACCTGCCAGGGGTTGGCATGCAGGCATGTAACATTTCTGTTGCATCTTTTGTTTTCACAGTGAGAGAAAAACGCAAGAGTCTCTTCATTAACCATGTAAGTGAAGTTGTCTCCCTGTGTTTTTCATAATGACTGTATGGTATAAAGAGCTTAAATAACTATGTCTTTGATGGGTGAAAATGCTTCTTGTATTGTGTCAATACTTAAAAAAAAATGTGGAAAATGTTACAGTGCTCAGTTTGGTGTATAATTGGACAAGCTTCAGTTGGCATTTATACACTGTCCCAAATGTTTTTCCAGATTCCCTAAGCTATGTTGTTAATGATAAGAGATGTGTGAATGAAGCCATAGTAAACACCACAGGTCCAAGTGAAAGGCACTTCTTTTTAGTTTCTAATCCTTAATTTCCTTTATACTCCCAAAGTACTGTTTCTTTGTAGCTCAGTTCCAATTGAATGAACACATACTTGTTTTTCATAAGCTATCTCTCTCTCATTTTCACACTTTGTAGACACGATAGAGTATGTTTTTGGGGTATCCAAAGAAAGGAGAAACATTTTTTTAATACTTTAATTTTAAAAGTTTCAAAACTTCACCTCTGGTCCCTTGGTTATTCTAAGCAGAGCACCCCTCCCTTGGTGGCCAGGTGGAAAGTGTTCCACTGAGATACTTTGTCACCAGTCCACCTGCCTTGCAGCAGCAGGTGCAGCTGGCTGTATCCAGCCTCCAACCCCCACCCTATGCTTCATGGCAAGCTCTGTCACCAGGAAAGTTATACCCACTCCTCCTCTTCTTCTCAGGAAGTGTCTCTTCCTTTAGGAAAGAATACTATCACGAGGTATGGTATGATGAAATAGGGAAATTATCAAAATAAGTGTGCTATAAATCCTCATAATGAAAATAAGAATGATGTATTTGACCTCACAGAGATCTTTCCCAGGATTCTTAAACTGTCTGCATTTAGGTATTTGCAGATCATAAAATACTTGGCACTAAAGCTGTGTATTCGTGAGACTTAGAACCATAGTATTGTATTTCTTGCCCCTTGAAAATCTGGACAAAATGCAGTGAGAAAGATCCTTAGGAGAGTGATTCCTCTGTGGACTGTGTCAATAAATATATGAACATACATAGTTCTGTAGGGGTCAGAGGGCCTATAGCTTTTATCAGATCCTTAAAGCAATTCATGACCTCTTCAAATTTTGAAGCATCAATATAAAGCATCTGCAAAATCATAATATGTCACAAAGAAAAGATGATGTAATTGGCATGCCTTTTCTTTTGAAAGCAGTGCATGCATGAATATAGAAATGTGAGTGACTGAAACGAATTCTCTAAATTCTTGCTTCCAATTTTTTACTGCTGAGTGCATTTGACTTCTTTCCCTTCCATTAGCATGTTTGCCAAGGAGTTTGCAGGGGAAGGAAGAGCTGAAAAAGCAGCCAGTCTACCTTTGCAGTTCACTACAGCTCCATTAAGGGTGTAGTGAGGAAAGAGAACAGGAATTTGTCCATGCCACTCTGCTGTGATTGTAGCTAATGAGATAGAGGTGTGCTCTCATAGTTCTGACTTGCACATTTATTTCATATGCTGTCTCACTTAACCTCACACTTTGTGTCCTGTACAGTCCTGGCACCTGCCACACACTGAGTCAATTTCCATGGACCAGCATATGGATTAGGGCGGAGTAGGCTATGCATTCTAACTTTAGGTATCCACTGAAACTCAGCCCACTCTTCAAACTCTGTAAAATCTCTCATCTACTGACACAAAGAATGAAATCACACAGGTGCTGAGATCTCTCACACGAACTTGTTCCTGTATAGAAGAAAGCTCTGTGCTGAATGTCTTATGTAGCAGATGACCCTGGAACAGCGTGACCCTCCAATCCCTGAACAGACCTAGCTGCAAATGAGCACGTGTGCCCTGCCACTGCTGGGAAAAGCCACTGGAGTGTGCTGTTCCAGCCCATTGAAATACAGTTTGAGTGAAATTACCTGCAGATTCAATTAGGCTAATAAACTAACTGTGCTTTTCAGGTTTTGTGACTTGGGTCTAATAAGTTAGAACAGTAGAGAAAAGATAAGGGATACCAGTAATCAGTGCTTTACTGATTGGGTGCCAGGCTCTGTTCTGATTGGTTTAATGCACTCACTTATTACTTAGCATAGTAACCAGGCTGGGTTTATGTGTGTATCCTTCCCATTCTACTGATATAGAAACTGAGGTTCAAAGAAGTTAGCCAAATAACATTGGAACCAGGATTGGGACTTAAGCAGCGTTCATCTGTACGCTTCTCAGATAGTAAGACCAGTTCCCATTGGGACAGGGTAGTATAGTCTTAATCAAAATTTTATAGGGCAGTCTGTAGGATTCATTTCTGAATAAAGATCCTTAGTAAAATTTATAATTTTAATTTCTTATTTAACTTTGGAATAACAGATTCTTTGTTTTTGACCATATTTTATTTAATGTGAGGGATTTTGTTTACTTTCATCTTCAAGTTTCTGAACAACCCACTTAGTTAGTACCTGTTGCTTAGATAATCTATAAGAAGCTGATATTGAAGAGAAGTGAAGAAGTGGATATACATAAGCCGAGTAAAGTAAGAGAAGTAGGGGTGGTTCAGCTCTACCCCTGGGATAAATGGTAACTACAGGGGAGATGAAAGTTTTTCTGGCTCTCTGCAAACACATTTTAGCAAGTGAAAAGAGTAAACTTAGACCCAGAACCTTCTTGGGGGTGTGCGGGGACAGTAGAGGATAGAACCCCAGGCAGGCAGGGTAAGGGGGTAGGCCTTTAACTGGCTCCAAAAAAACCAAAACAAAACAAAAAACAGAGAAAGAAAAAACCACCCTAGTGTCTTTAAAGGGATTAAGTAAAAGGTGGCAGCTTCTGAAAGATCTGGGAATTTTGACAGCAAGTTAAATCAGGTGAATTATAAAGATTAATAGTCTAATCAGCACCTGTATTTTAGATGTAATTAGAATGAATAGTTATAGGAAAATTTAATAATAAATTTAATGCATTATTAGAGGCATTTTTGAAAAGACTAGTATGACAAACTTTATTTAAAGTTTATGCTTTAATTTTGCTGACATTTGGCTTTGCTTTTTTTTAAAAATGTCTTAAAATGTGAAAATCTCTATTAAGTTGTAGATGACTTTGTAAGTAGCTGTAGTTTGGAATTACCCCTGAAACTTAGGAGAAACTCATGCCTTTTACCTTAGCCTAATTTTTCTGTGACATTTTCCTGCCACGTGGTGACAGCATACCTAAAGTCATATGATCAAAGAAGTTAAAAAAAAAAAAAAAGGATATTCAAATAAAATGAACCTGGAGTTCAGTGGCTGATCTCCCTTATGTCTCTTCTGCTGTTGATACATTTTGAATGAGAAAGCCCAAATGGGCGTGCTACTTAGGGTCACCCATACTTACAAAAAAAATTCAAAGCATGTGTCTCAGCATTGAGACAGGTGATTGTTCTATAAGTTTGGTGAGGAAATAAAGCAATTATACAAGAGTCACATTGTTAGTTGAGTGTAAAGGAACTTTTCTCAGACTCTAATTCTGCCACCTGATAACTGGGTGACCTTGGAAATGTCTTCAAGTTTCAGTTCTCTTCTCTCCCAGATGGATCACAACTCTTTGGCCTGCTTGACTCAAATGAAGGGAAGGTAATTTGTAAACTGATTTTAGTACCAGATATATATGTTGATGTTATTATCCATTGGAGATTAGGTAAATTTAGTTTAAGTTTTTTCAAAACTGATAAAGTCTTTCTTGTATTTTGAGTATAGTTGTAGTCCCTACCCCTCCACTTACTAAGACCTGGACTCCCAAGGGAGGTATATTCTGTTCAACTCCTTTTGGGAATACTTAGTTTGCACCTCTTCACTAATTCAATTCTGAACAGATTTTTGCCTTTTAGTTTTGAGTGATATAGAAATAGAAGTCCTTATAAAATGGTTTCTACTCTGATTATACTCTCATTTGTAAGTTATAGAAGTTAAGGAATGAAATGAGAAATGGAGCTGGAGAGGTCCATATTGGATACTGGGGATTGAGTATCCCCAGTGCTCAGAGGGACTTTGCCACTGAGCTACATCCCCAACCTTTTATTTTATTTTATTTTGAGGCAGGGTCTTGCTAAATTGCTGAGGCTGACCTTGAACCTGCTATCCTCCTGTCTCAGCCTCCTGAGTCTCTGGGATTATAGGCATGTCCATTGCATCTGGCCAGAAACTGATATTTTAAAATTTCTAAACCTTACTTTTGTCTCTGGAAGATTTGCTCTTTTGGGTAGGGTAGGGTGGAGGGATACTAAGAATTGAACCCAGCAGTGTTCTACCACTGAACTTCACCCCCAGACCTTTTTATTTTGAGAGGGTTGCTGAGGCTGGCCTTGAACCTTGTAATTCTTCTGCCTAGGCCTCCCAAATAGCTGGTTTCAGGCGTGAACCACCAGAGTTGTGCTCTTATAAGTTTATTAAGCAGCTACTATGCTACATTAATATAGTATACTTGGAGGATGTGAAAAAGACTTAGTAAGATTAGAATTTCATAAAATTTAAAAAATCCATTAAGCTAAGGAAATTCAAATTTCATCTTGAGATAATTTCAAATTGATAGAAAAATTGCAGTAATAATGGAGAGTACAAAATTTTCACATGTTGCTATAAGAACCTTAGATACTCAGACTCAGACCTGTCAGTCTACTTCAGGATATTGAAAGGGGATAGATATTTTGTTCTTTTCTCTCTTATTCCTCCTTCTCCTTCACAGAATTTCTAAAAATGAAAATGCTATACACATGAAAGTGCTGGGGCAGATGAGAAGTTTGTGTAGGATGTGAGCCCTTGAGTGTATTGGTTATATCTGTAAAAGATTCTCCTTTTTTCTGTTTTTCTTTTCCTGCCTATGATAGAACTCAGGGCCTTTCACCTGCTAAGCAAACATTCTACCGCTGGGCTACATCTACTATCCTTTGTGACAGAGTCTCACTAAGTTGCCCAGGCTGATCTTGAATTTGCTAGCCTCCTTCCTATGCCTCCTCAGTGGCTGGAAGTACAGGCATGTTCCTTTACACTCAGCTG